TCGTCAGGGATATTATTGACCCCGGATCCAGGAAGATACGCACAATTTTGTCAAAAAATGTGACAAGTGCTAGCGGTTCGCGAACATTCCGCGAGCCCTCTCGCACGAGCTGATAACAATGTCTAGTCCCTGGCCATTTTCTATGTAGGAGATCGACCTTATCGGTCCCATGCCAGTTGGAAAGGGAGGGGTCAAGTATGTCGTGGTCGCGGTAGATTATTTCACGAAATGGGTGGAAGCCGAACCGCTGGCCGCGATCACGATCAGAAAGCTGAAAGACTTCGTTTTCAAGAATATAGTGTGCCGCTACGGAATTCTCCACACCCTCATCTCGGACAATGGAAAGCAATTCGACAACGAGGAGTTCAAACAGTTCTGCGACGAGCTGGGCATCCATAAAAAATTCGCCTCAGTCGCCAGACCGCAAGCAAATGGCCAAGTTGAAGCAGTCAACAAGACCATCAAGCACACTCTAAAGGCCAAGCTTGGGGCGGCCAAAGGAAATTGGGTTGACGATCTCCCCGAAGTCTTATGGGCGTACAGGACAACTCCAAGAACTTCCACCTCAGAGACCCCTTTTTCGCTAGCCTATGGCTGCGAAGCGATGATTCCTGTGAGGTGGGAACTGGTTCTCTTCGGAGAGACTTGTACGATGAGGTTGAAAACGAAGCACTTATGAGGGCAAGTTTGGATCTCGTTGAAGAGCATCGCAGCAAGGCTTCGCTAAGGATAGCAGCCTACCAGCAACGAGCAAAGAGGTTTTTCGATTCAAAGGTCAAGCGAAGAGACTTCTAGGTCAGGGACCTTATGCTAAAGGAAGTTCTTGGGACCAGAGAGCCAAGTGTGGGGGTACTAGGACCTAACTGGGAAGGACCAGACCGGGTCGATAAGGTGATCAGACCGGGGACTTACCACCTCAAAAGATTGAACGGTTCCAAAGTACCCCGAGCTTGGAATGCCGAACACCTCTGGCCATACTATCAGTAATCCCGAACTCAGCTCTCAATTAGTTTTTGTTAGTTTCCTCTTTAATGTAAAGCATAATTTTGTTCGCTGGAAACAGTTTGCATGTGTTCTGTTCGCGTGTAAGAATTCGCATGTAATATAGCCTATGTAAAACTGAATTGTAAATTGCACTTATGTATGAAAAAGCGAACAGCAATTGAAAGCAAAATGTATTTTCATTTATGTACAAACAAAAGTTAAGACCCAATTTCAATGGAGTCAAGACTCATTACACTACAGCTGGTCGGAGGGATCCTTCGAAGCAGGACCAGAACCCCCTGCCTAGTCTGATCGTCGGGTGGCCGCTGCTGCTTGATCATCTTCCTCCGCCATAATCCGCAAGGTCTCTCGCCACCCCTCCGGGAGGTCGAAAATGTCCATATCTGGGTTTTTTAATCGCAGGGAATAAATAGACCCGATCGCCCAGTCAGCGGCCTTTTCCTCCATATCCTCTGACTGGATCTGCGTTTCTTCAGTCAGTGAAGCCATCTTTTCCCGACTCTCCTGGAGTTTGGCCTCAAGAGCTTGCTTCTCCTGTTCGGAGGCCTCCCTTTCCTGTTCAGCTTGCTGAGCCCATATGGAGGTCGTCTGGATCTCCTGGTCCTTCTCTCCGACCTCCTTGGAGAGCCTGGCGGTCGTCCTTTGAATTTCCTTCACTTCCTTCGCACGTCGCTCAAGCTCCGCCTTTTGGAAGTCCACAGTTCGCAAAGCAGCATCCTTTTGGTTCAGATACCTGTTCGCCGCTTCGAATGCTTGCGTTCTTTCAGCTTCGACGGACTCCAGGCTTTTCTTGAGCTTCGCGACCTCCTCCTTTAGGTCGCTGGCCCCCTTCGCGGCCCCCAGCCGGGTCTTCTCCATAGACATCCTCATCGCAAGCAAAGCCTGCGAGCAAGAAATGAACTAGAATGAAATTTTAAGAGCAGCTCGTTTACCTTGCTTAGATGCTGGAACGACGTGGTCATCAAGTCGTCGCCCGTGTCAGCGAACTCATCATACGACTTCGATAGTCCACACTCGAGCAAAGAATAGACTATCGGCTACAGGTATTTGGGCAGGCTCCTCAACGAGTCCAGCACTGGTGCGTCCTTCACCTTGTTGGCAGTGATCGCCTCGCTCACAGGTTCCTTGCCCGACCTCCTTGAGTCCTTTTGCGACCTCAAGGGCTCTTCCTCAGATTCGGTCTCAGACTCGTTGACCTGAATCTGTTTCCTCTTCTTCGACCTCTGGGCCGGAGCCTTCCGCCTTGGGCGAGCAGATGGTGCCTGAGCAACCTGTTCTGCCCTGGTCGCTTCTTGCACAGGTTGGGGCTGGGAAGGCACGGTAGTTCGCACCAGTTGTGCCAGAATAGGACGAGCAGCTTCGGTCGCTGTCTCTCTCCTTGATCGAGGGAAGACGAACGGTGCTCGGCGAGGCTGCTCGGACTCCTTCGGAGGCATAGTTTCTGCATGCAAGTGCGTTAGTAAACAGAACTATTCTGTGACCAGGAAGGAAATCAATGTAACTTACCTTCTAGGGGCTCTAAAGACGCGTTGCTATTGATAAAACCGTACTTCTGCAAGTTCGCAGTTGTCACGAGCTTCCTCGCGTCCCGGCTTTCCTCTGGAAGGACTCCAAAAGATACGAGCCTGTTCGGGTCGTCGAGCAAGTCTTGGCTGGTCGTTCTATTAACTGCAAAAGAAGAATACAGATCGTTATTATAAAGCATGCGAACAGATAATATACCTAGCGAGGAAGAACATACTTGGTTTCTGAAAGCGGTAGTAGCCGTCATAGCAGAAAAAGAAGAATTTCGTCTCATAGGCCCCCGCGTTGCTGGGATAGCTATGTATCCCCTCGGCGATGGTAGGTCGCCGGGACAAGTAATATGAATCCTTGTCCCTACTCTTTTTAAGATAGTAGGCGATACCGAGCTCCACCGTCGTTGGCTCGCCCAAGCCGCTTTTGCAGCACGGGATGTACATTGCGACGGCGATGACATACGCGTTTGGTGTCAGCCGCATCGGTGCGATCCCGAAGTGATCCAGGACCGACCTGATGAAAGGATGGAAGGGAATCATCCCTCCACTCTTGAAGATCTCTTCAGAGATCGCAGCAAGGCTATCAGCAGGATGCCATGACGACCGGATGTGGTCGAGGAACACCTCTGCGCGGATGTTGTACTGTTTTTTAATCCTATCAAGCTCTTCTCGAGTGAGAACCGAGAAGACATCAAGGGATGCGTCCGCGGGAACTTCCTGCGAGGACGAGCTGGTTCCTTCCTCGGGTCTGGATGTTGACGGTTCCATTCCAGAGTCTGCAACACCGACAGACACGGTCATTTTAGCCTTCACATTTTGTCCCGTGCGACGACATGGGACAAATTCCTTAAACCCTAACAGTAACTCGAGCCGCCACCCACGGCTCAAGTCCGGCGACAGCGGCGCGTCTCTGGTTAAACACCAGGAGACCCAACGCCGTTGCCCACCAACCAAACAAACAAAAAAAAGAGAGAGGAAGGAGAAAAAGGATCTTACCTTCTGGGATGCGTGACCAAGGCCGACTGTTGTTTCAGATGTCTGAGAAGTGCCAATCGGAAAAGGAGAACTTCCGGTTTGCAAAGGCTTGTCACTCGAAGCAAAAGGGATTTTGGTGGCCTCATCTGAAAAATGTGAGCTTTTATATGGACTGCGAATCGACGGTTACTACCTCTCGGAACCGAAATGACAGCCTTCTCTCTCTCCCCGCATTTAATGCGCCCCACGTCGTATTAAATGCCGTGATGAGGGTCGTCGTTTCAAATGCGTCGTGCAGTTAAAGCTGTCAAAACGACGTCGGGTCAGCACACAACGCATTTAATGCACCTAACGGACCCTGCAGCACGTGCAAAGCGCCTGACAGCGTGGATGCAGGTTCATTAAATCTCTCCAAGGCACGGAAAAGAGCGTCCGACGAATCCAGGTCGCTAAAATGATGATTGTCAGGTTGTTTGGGCAAGAATTGTGCGAGGTAGTGTTCGCAAAAGATCCTGTCCCAAGCTTCTTCCATTCAGGTCAAAACTACCAGAACCTCCAATCGCAGCATGACTTAGTTTCCAAGGTTCGATCCTCAAACCTTAAAAACTAGGGGACTTCTGTTATGCCTGGGAAATCAAGGGCTGATGTGGAGTCACGTGACGAAACGTGGCCTGCTCCCGTCAGAACAGTAAGCGCATGTCAGGCCTGCCAAGCGCCCTGGAGCTCCCACGTGTCCGCTTTCCTGCTCCAAATCGCGTAAAATCAGCTTGGGAAATGGGTAATGGGACATAAAGCCAGATTATGTCCTGACATTCACACCAACCCAATGATTTAATGATGATTACACGCATTCAACTGGATATAAGAAGGGGAAGACCCCTTCATTAAGGGGATTCGATCATTTTACATTTGATCGCTCTCTCTCTAAAAAAGGCTTTGTATTTACTTTTTAATCATTTGTAAGTCAGTCCGCTTTAGCGACCTGACCCACCATATTAATACAAATCAGTGGATGTAGGACTTACTACCTTAGCATCCGAACCACTTTAAAAGCTTTCATTGCATTTATTTCATATTCATAATCCATATTCACGTGTGTTTCTTGTCCAATCAACACTACGCATGTGTCAATTAGTTGGTGCCTAAATCGCGCATCAACATAGAACAATAAACATAATTAATTTTATAGGTCTCAGATATATATCTCTGGCTATAAACCACGATTATATTATAAACCAAACCACGAAACTATCTGACTAATCCATTGTGTTGCTTGTGTTCGCTCCCTGAGCAGCCATTCATGCCTCAAGATTGATGCTTAATGAATGTATTTTTCAAGTCATAGGCCATAAGAACAAAGGCTTCGACGTTCGTAACAGGCTTGAATAGTTCTTTTTTAGACTGGGAGCTTTTGTACATAGGACCAGATTGCAAACTTAACTTTTGTAAACAGAACAAACACACTCAATATTGTATTGAATAGTTTTCTTACAGTACTGAAACATCAAAGATTCAAAGTCAGGCCCTCAAATAAACCTTACAAAACGTACTAATGAAAAACAAACTCTATCTTAACAACTTTGACCAAAATACTGGCACTCATTATCTAAAGAATAGGAACAAACTTGAACATAGAAACATGCTAACAGACACGCGGGGTACAACTGGCTTATGCTTGAATTTGTCAACAGCTCTGATGTGGGCGGGTTCGTCTGAAGCCGATTAAGAAGTATTTGACGACCTGTTTTGTCTCTCCTTTCGTCTTTCAACGTCGGACTGCATATATTACATGTTTCACAAATGAGGAGATGGTGTATATTTTAGCATGTATAATTAAATTCAGAAATAAGAAGTTAACAGAATAAAATATACGAACCTGCATTTCTCTGATAAGAGAGTAAAACAAAATCACTGCCATGTAGATTACACAAAGTACAAAGATGTTTCCAGATACGTCAGTACTAGCTGTTCCAATGTTCGAACCAAAACCACTGCAAAAATTGAATTCAAATGTATATATAATATATCAGGTCCAAATGACTTGTACCATTTGAAATGGAGAATTTATGGTAGAAACTTGAGATACCAAACATGCATATTAATGTGAGATTTTACATCTACCGACGAAAAGATCTTCTTGTATAATTTTTTAGTTAATGAAAAATCAGTTCAGTAACAAATTGCTTCTTCTTTCAAATTCTCCAGATCTATCTCTTCCTGTTATTTTCTCACTAATGGTGGAAATGGAGAGGAAATAATATCATACTACAAACATCTGAGGAATTTTCTGTTGAAGTAATAGGGTGTGTTTATTTTCAATTTTAGAACAATTATTCCTCAGTAAAACCATCACACAAGAACAAGAAAGTATATGATATTAATAGTGCACAAACCTGATAGTTTGCATGGCCCATCGAAAACAAAACAAATGCTTAAGCGAAAAATTTCTCATCTCCAGAATTCCAGACTGATGGGCGTCACGGAATACTCCAAAATCATACTCAATTGTATTTCTTGAACAAAAATCATTCATAATTTTGTATGCTTCTGAACTTTCGTTGCAAGGTAAGAAACGGTCACGAAACTCTCGATCAGGGCATCCACTTTTGTGAGTCCTGCACGCTTTCTGCCAACATCTGGCCTCTGCGTATATGGCTAGGACATACCAAACGGATCCAATTACCTAAAACATCAGCGACCCCCAAGTGGATAAAAAATCTTGGAAAAAAATGTCAAATATTTATACAAAGTACATCAGTCTTTTCATTTTTTGTTTTTGTTTTAAATCAATTCAGTGTTAAAGTAAAAATAAAAAACAAACAACCTAAGTTTTGCATCCAATAAACCCTTTGTATAACTGAACTTACTTCACCCGAATACACGTATGAATAAAGGAGCTTAATCGCCCATAGAGCCAAGTTTGATGATGAAGAACCGTATGCAGTCAATATTGACAGTCGAATTATTCTCGGTACCATTTGATATCGAAGAAGTGCTACTCTATTCCAAACTGTGCGGGTTTTTGTTCGATGAATGAGAATAAGCATCTCCTGAACAGGTTGAAGTCCACGAGGGAAAATGTTTAGTTTGATTCAGCCCTAGTCAAATATAAAAGAAAGAAGATTAAATTAGCTGTGAGAGTGTCTCCCTTACCAGTGACAGCGGAAACATGATTATCATATTCCCACATATGAGTAATATGCGAATCCATGCACTTTCATTTAAATCAGCAGGCAGCTCTAAAATCGAGTAAAAGACTATATTAATAATATCAACTACAAAGTGAACAACACAAATTGCCGTCCCAAAATTTTTGTCCACTTGAACGCACTTTCTATCATCACCCAAATAAAATAGATAGACCACTAATGGATCCAATAAAATTCCAATTGCCCAGAATATAAGCCTGAAGATGCCCTTAGCTCCACGAATTTTATATTTTTCTGAACAACTTGTATTTTCATGGCTTGTACGCGAAGCCGCATTAGTAGCCAGATTCCGCCTGATAAAAGAAAATAATCAGTATAAATATGTTCTATACAAAATTTGAATCACAAAATATGCCAATGAAACTGTTAAGAAGCTGGGAAAAAAGCTTGGGTTAATTAAGCTGCTCAACTGAATCCTTACTACAAGTTTTGAGCTCATCATTTAGCCCAAAAAATCACTTACATGATCCACAACTAATAATTGCCAAGCAGAAGAAGAAAACTTTTGGTTTCTGCAACTTTTGAGTGAAGAAGCTTTTTAAATAGGAAAAATTCTGAGTTAAAATCTTCCTATCCAACTTCCCAGCATCAAAACGAGTAATATTATACTTATAACTCAATCTCACAAACTTTACCTTATAATCTCGACATGACAATTTGTGATTGGTTAACTTGTAAATAGATTCTATTTGCTCACTATAGGTCTCACTGTCTAATTACGAACTTACTAATTACGAGTTATCACATCGAGGCTATGAGAAAAAGTTTATAAGATTGGATTGTCTCCGTCCTTAAAAAAAATCCTATGTATCATAGTACAAAGCTAATATGAGCTGGCAATCCGTGTGACAACTATTTCCTTACATCTCATCCGTTCAATTGATTACAAGAAACACGATTAGGGTAATTCTGAGTTCGTACCCGTAGGATCAGTTTTTGCTCCCTAACTTCGCGAAGCTTTGTTGAACCCCTAATGCTTGCAAGCTAAAGCTCCCGTTAGTTTCCTTCTTCTTTGCTTTCTCACAGTCAGAGCAGTTAGTCACGCCGTAAGCCATTAGTCTTATTTATTATTTAACTTGTTTTTCAAACAGTAAATCTGGAAACATTTTACAAAATCAATGATAATGAAGTGGAAAATGATAGGTTGTATTATCTATAAATTAATTAATGGATAATTAATTAGATTGTAGAATTGTTCAAACGATTACAAGATCAACTTGGGTGAATGTAGCTTGCGTCCTAGTGACATACCTTGCTACATATTATTTTAAATTAATTTCGATTAAAATATCAAATAGAGAAGAAATGAAATAAATATTGGACTCCAATCCAAAGAGGGCGACTGACATATTATAACCAACCTGCATGTAATGTCAAAACTTCTTTAACTCGGGGAACTTGTCTTATGTACTTCAAATCAGCATCCATGATGTGAGATTCTTAGGCAGAATGGCATCAGCCAGGATGTAAAATGTGCAGATAACTTTGATTTATCAAAGTCTCTTTCACTCCCAATGCTTTCACACTCTTATAATCAAACAGCGATTGATTAGCCACTGCCTTTTTTTGCATAATTAGAAAGCTAAATAAATTAATTACAAATTAAACCAAAACCAACTGTGGTTTTTATTAGGGCCAAAAATCGTCTTGGGCTTGACGGGGCCCAATAACAAAATAAACATGTCACGGCCCAAGGCCTCAACCCAATCCCGATTGGGCCTACGCTTAAAATCACCTTGCGACCTACCCACTCTATGAGTTGGGCTATCCTATAAGTTAAGCTAAACTAGGTTTCAGCCCATTAGCCTGCAACAAAGTATAAATAGGAAATCAGAATCTCACTCTATTTCCTCTTCTACTAAGATTTCAAATCTCACTCAAATTATTAAACTTGATCTGATAAGGTCAATAAATCATATCTCTTTCATGATAAGGATTATCTCCCAAAATAGGACTTAGTGTCCTACTAAGATCCCAACTCTTATTTAAACTATTAAACTTAATCTGATAAGGTTAAGAAATCATATCTCTTTTATGATAGGGATTATCTCCCAAAAGAGGACTCAATGTCCTACTAGGATTCCAACCCGTTAGGTTCACTATAAAAATAGAGGCTTGCCCTCTCATTAAAGGGGCAATTTCTCACAGGCAATCTACACTACTCAAAACCATCTATTTGCTCCTAAGTTCTTGCTTCCAAGAACCCGACGCCTCCGCCATATCCTAGCCTCCGACAAGACTCCTGTAATTCTTCTTCTCCTTAATTCTTATTAAATCTCTTTCAGCCTTGCTGACTTGAGTTGTCGGAGTGCCTACGGCAAACACCACCTGGTGTCTTCCGGAAGCTTCACTCTTGCCTTTTCATGTGTGCAGGTCTAATGGATTGTCAGTGGCCTCACCTCACGGGATCACACCCATTTTCATGACGGTAGATTTTTTGCATCTACAGTTTGGCGCCCACCGTGGGGCCCTACAATCATCTACCAACGACAACTTGCAACATGAGAGGAGACATAGAACTCCCTCCGACTGGCATCGTTACCCGAAAATCTCATCACGATAGAAAATTTTTCATTAATTTTCTTCATTTTAAATCCATTGAAAGTATCTAGGAATAATTCACATGTCATATTATGTCTTTAAGCATGAAATGTGATAACTTGAAGCATCAAAACACATCTTCCGTGTTCATATTTGTTTATGCATTAGTTGGAATATTGCTCACTTTCGTATGCGTTAAATTTCGTTTTGGAAGGTATTTCGTTCCTAAAAACTCTCACATCTCTTAGCATGTCTTCGAGTGTTTTAAAAAAAAAAAAAAAAATTCAATAGAAAGACAAAAATGTGATCCATCTCATTTAGGTCCATGAAGTAAGATATACTTAATTTTTACTTCTACGCGTTTTGCAATATCGAACATGGAAAAAAGCAATTGCTGTACTATTTACCGTTTACTTTGATCTGCAAAATATATGGCCAACATTTTGGGATTGATAATGAAGTACCTTTATCTTAGTTATAGATATATTGATACTCAAGACCATATACTTTTGGTTCAGACTTGATCTTTTCTCCTCGTAGATCAAGTGTTTAACACCGTTATGTGCATCTCTCTCTCTCTCTCTCTCTCTCTCTCTCTCTCTCTATGAGTGCATATGTGTGCCTATCTTGACACTTGTGTGCGTAATCGACCATGTTATTTGAACATTTTTGTCTATGTATTAATTTGTGCTAATGATGAATGAGACTTTATTTATTGTAATTCCACCTTGATCAAGTATTTGGGAGACTTGGTACCAGACCTACTACTATTGCACAAACCAAACGTCCCAATTGATTATGTTAATTTCAGGATGGTAGGGGCGGTGTAATAATTTGGTTCTTCTCCTACCAATTACATTATCGATGTCACTGGGAAATAGCCAGTCCATTTATCTTATTGTCAATACTCCACATTCTTATTAAAATCAATAGGTCCTGCCATCTTCGCAAGGCCAACAAAATTGCTCACTTGTATTGACCAAGAATAAAGAAGCACAGGGCAGCCACCAGACTTTTGCTGACCTCTTGGCTCCAAACAACCAAGCAAAGAAATTAGAAAGTTTACCTTGGAAAAAGCGGCTGGAAAACTTCATCAGAAAAACACAAGAGAGGATGAATTTTTTTCGCAAAATACGAAATCCAAAAGAAGATGGATTAGAAGAGCTCAATCAAACCACTCTGGCACATTTAGCGTGCACACCATTTTTCCCTGGTACGTTTTACTTAAAACTTCATTTTGCTCAGCTTTTGCCAATCACATGGTAGAAACATTCACCCCCATTTGTCTTTTTCTTTCTCTATTTGTCTTATTATTTCATTTGGTTTATTACACATGAACACCATGCATATTAGCTCTCCATTTGGCTCTTTGCTTAAAACATGCATGCCATGCAAGTCACTGCTCCAGCTTCAATCAAAAGGTTTCAACTACAAGTCGGTCATGCGGACTGGACCGCAAGCTCCATACAAGCTTTACTTGGCATACACCTTCAAATCGGCCTGCCCGATAAACGTACGGACACCTTCAAATCGGCCGGCCCGATAAACATACGGACACCTTCAAATCGGCATGCCCGATAAACGTACGGACACCTTCAAATCGGCATGTCCGATAAACGTACGGACACCTTCAAATCAGCCACGCCGATAAACGTATGGACACCTTCAAATCAGCCTGCCTGATAAACGTACGTACACCTTCGGATCGGCCCTGCTCGATCCACAGATTTACACCTTCGGATCGACCCTGCTCGATCCACGGATTTACACCTTCTATGGATTTACACCTTCGGATTGAGCCTGCTCGATCCACAGATTTACACCTTCGGATCGACCCTGCTCGATCCACGGATTTACACCTTCGGATCAACCCTACTCGATCCACGGATTTACACCTTCTACGAATTTACACCTTCGGATTGAGTCTGCTCGATCCACAGATTTACACCTTCTACGGATTTACACCTTCGGATTGAGCCTGCTCGATCCACAGATTTACACCTTCGGATCGACCCTGCTCGATTCACGGATTTGCACCTTCGATTGGCCCTGCCCGGTCCATAAAGCTACACATTCAGTCAGCCAGACTGGTTGAAGGGTTCTTGCACCTCAAATCGACAAGTCATTGACCCAATCCACACAACGATCCATCCGACCTAACGAGCTGCTATCACTAATCCGCTCAGTCTGCACTCATTCGATTTAATCTACTCTCTAAGCTAAATACTCTTTAACTTAGAGAGTGGGGGGCTAACTGTTAGGGCCAAAAATCATCTTGGGCTTGACGGGGCCCAATAACGAAATAAACATGTCACGGCCCAAGGCCTCAACCCAATCCCGATTGGGCCTACGTTTAAAATTACCTTGTGACCTACCTACTCTATGAGTTGGGCTATCCTATAAGTTAAGCTAAACTAGGTTTCAGCCCATTAGCCTGCAACAAAGTATAAATAGGAAATCAGAATCTCACTCTATTTCCTCTTCTACTAAGATTTCAAATCTCACTCAAATTATTAAACTTGATCTGATAAGGTCAATAAATCATATCTCTTTCATGATAAGGATTATCTCCCAAAATAGGACTTAGTGTCCTACTAAGATCCCAACTCTTATTTAAACTATTAAACTTAATCTGATAAGGTTAAGAAATCATATCTCTTTTATGATAGGGATTATCTCCCAAAAGAGGACTCAATGTCCTACTAGGATTCCAACCCGTTAGGTTCACTATAAAAATAGAGGCTTGCCCTCTCATTAAAGGGGCAATCTCTCACAGTCAATCTACACTACTCAAAACCATCTATTTGCTCTTAAGTTCTTGCTTCCAAGAACCCGACGCCTCCGCCATAGTCCTAGCCTCCGACAAGACTCCTGGTAATTCTTCTTCTCCTTAATTCTTATTAAATCTCTTTCAGCCTTGCTGACTTGAGCGTTGGAGTGCCTACGGCAAACACCACCTTGGTGTTTTCCGGAAGCTTCACGCTTGCCCTTTCATGTGTGCAGGTCTAATGGATTGTCAA